AATTTGATTGATTTGATTTGGAAAGTAGTGAAGACATTTTTTACTATTGTAAAGAAAAAAACTGTGGAAATGGAAATTAACTCGCTATAGAACCACAATTAAATACATTTCCTGAAATGATCCAGATCCTTGTTCTTGTGCTTTTTTAAAATCACACTTGAGTAAGGCAGTCTTCTATTTGTTGCATCTTCCTTTAGGGCTCCAGATCTTCTTTGGAAGGCTCTCGGCCAGTAGGACAAGTAGACAAACACATCCTGCTTCTGGTGCATGGAGTGGGAAATGCAGGTACAATGTTGTAAATGATAAGGTCAGGGTTTCCCCCAGTAACTTGCTAAGCCCTGTGGTCAGGGTGCCGAGGTGGCCCACCGTGTTTTTGTATTAAAAGATGTTAGGTCGACAGAATGTAAAAATATTACTGGGTAATTGTATGTTACAGAAAAACATCGCCATTGAAATGCTGTTTAAACCCACAACTTTTCTTAAAAGCAACAAATTAAAAAAAATGCAATTAAATTGAATATCAATTATTTGCACTTCTGTTTAATCCAAATTAAGTCATAAGGCCCTTCGGGGCTGATGCTATGAGTTTAATCTTTGAGTTTGAGCTCTGTTTGTTCACATATTCAAATTAGTAAACTGGAATTATAACTTATTGCTTTTTAGGTTGGTCAATAAAAACTATTCCTCATCTCCCAGATTTCACTAAATCTAACACAGAAGTTGGTAGAAATGCTGATGTTTTTAGCAGCAAGAGGGGCCCCTAAGTCAAAGTCAAACCAGAAAACTACTAAAAATAATAATGAAATAATATTAAACCAGTGTGATGTGTGACTACGAGGCGAGCGCGAAAGCTGTGGGTGCAGTGGGTTTTAAACTCTTACCTTTAGAGTTCTCCAAAGAAACATAATTCCTCACAGGGGAATTATGTAAATTATGTAAATATCCATGCAGGTCAGCCTGTTTCCAATTTGAAGGGAGTGAAGGGAGGCGCGTGCGCTGAGGTAAACTTCAGCAGTGTTCGCTCTCCTGGCTTTACATTCATCTTCTATAAACCTATCTTTTAAGAATAAATCTGCTCCCCCACAGAAACGCTCAGAGCAACAGAGACACTTGCAATCTGGCTTTACAACAAAAAAACGATTTTTTTTTCTGGCTTAGCCTAGCAGGGGGCCTAGTAAAGCATGGCGGGCTGCCAGGCTTATGATACACTAGGGGAAACCCTGTAAGGTAGAGATTGTGTAAAAGATTCCATTGTTTCATCAGAGAACTGTTGGAGCCATTTGTCAACTGTGAGGTCTCTAGGTTTATATGGATGTATGTTTTCAATTGTAATTAATTTTTTTATCTCTTGTGTAGGTCCAGAAATCACAGATGAACTGGTCAAGGTGCTTCGGAAGCGCCTGGATGAAACCACCTTGGACATCATAACAGTTATGCTTGTTAGGAACTGCAAGCTAACTCCTGCTGATGTGGAGGTAGTCTGCCTTTTCTGTGTCTTAGTATTTCTATTACACAACAAACATTTAACATTATTTTAAATGCAACATCTGTTTTGCACAGAGGCAATCAAAGAATTAATTCAATATTTCCAAATATTGTCTGATTAGTTTATCCAGCCATCAGGATCTCCTCCCACTGGAATTATGACCTTCAATCTTCCAACGTATTGCCTTCCCTGGCTGCCCACACTGGCTCACTACCTCAGACAGAACCTGCTTATCTTCCTGCATATACCCAAGTACACTGACAGCATTACTGTACACCATTTCAAGGTACACTGCACCATGTAAAATTGTGTGCCCCAACTCCTCTCCTATTTTCTGGACTGTCCATAACAGAAAGAACAAAGAGCATGAAGGGTTAGAAGATTAGTAAGGACAGGCAATATGACTCTTCAATGCAAAAAAGTGAATCCTCAAAATGAATAAAGAGGTTATCTTGCAGCACTGCAGATCTTTTTTAACAAGTCATACTTTTCAAAATATAATGAAGTGGGCAAAAAAAAAGGAAATTGTTATAAAAAGTTACAGTGTAAATGACAAATGCCTGTCTTAAAAATAATTTAATCTACACTCACTGGCCACTTTATTAGGTACACCTGCACAACTGTTGAATCAGCCAATCACTTGGCAGCAACTCCATGCATTTAGGCATGTAGACATGGCCAAGACAATCTGCTGCGGTTCAAACTGAGCATGAGAATGGAGAAGAAATGTGATTTAAATGACTTTGAACGTGGCATGGTTGTTGGTGCCCGACGGGCTGGTCTGAGTACGTCAGAAACTGCTGGCCTATTGGGATTTTCATGCACAACCATCTTTATAGAGTTTATAGAGAATGGGCTGAAAAAGAGAAAATATCCAGAGCGGCAGTTCTGTGGTCGCAAATGCCTTGTTGATGCCAGAGGTCAGAGGAGAATGGCCAGACTGGTGTGAGCTGATAGAACAGCAACAGTAACTCAAATAACCACTTGTTACAACAGAGGTATGCAGAAGAGCATCTCTGAACGCACAACATGCCAAACCTTGAGGCGGATGGGCTACAGCAGCAGAAGACCACACCGGGTGCCACTCCTGTCAGCTAAGAACAGGAAACTGAGGCTACAATTCACACAGGCTCACCAAAATTGGACAATAGAAGATTGGAAAACATTGTCTGGTCTGATGAGTCTCGATTTCTTCTGTAACAGTCGGATTGTAGGGCCAGAATATGGTGTCAACAATATGAGAGCATGGATCCATCCTGCCTTGTATCAGTGGTTCAGGCTGCTGGTGGTGGTGCAATGGTGTGGGGGATATTTTCCTGGCACACTTTGGGTCCATTAGTACCAATTGAGCAGTGTGTCAATGCCACAGCCTACCTGATTGTTGCTGACCATGCCCATCCCTTTATGACCACAGTGTATCACCTTCTGATGGATACTTCCAGCAGGATAACGCACCTTGTCATAAAGCGCCAATCGTCTCAGACTGGTTTCTTGAACACGACAATGAGTTCACTGAACTCAAATGGCCTCCAAAGTTATCAGATCTCAATCCAATAGAGAATCTTTGGGATGTGGTGGAACGACAGATTCACATCATGGATGTGCAGCCGACAAATCTTGAGCAACTGTGGAATGTTATGTTAATATGGATCAGACTCTGAGGAATATTTCCAGTACCTTGTTGAATCTATGCCACGAAGGATTAAGGCAGTTCTCGGGGTACCTAATAAAGTGGCCGGTGAGTGTATGTAGTTGTGCTAAGAGTCTAACTCAGAAATCTGAGTACATGCATACATGTCTATAAGCTTTCACTGCGTTGCAAAGGCATTTTTGGGTGAACCTTGAAGGTTGTAATTTTTTTACTTTTTTCTGTTTTCAGCATTACTTTCATTTGAGCACTGACTTGGCTGACTCTGATATCTACCTCTACAATAAGCCTGGAGGCCAGGGAACCGGAGGCAAAGGTAACAAGTCTCTAAGTCTTAACATACAGCATCATCATGAGCATAGTTTTTTTCTTTCTCTGTATTATCCAAAGTCTAAAAATATTTGGATAATACAGATAGTAAAAATTTAAATAAATAAATAAACAAAAAAATAATAATAAAAAATAAATAAAAATAAAAAACTGTGGTCTAAGAGCATTTAGCAGAAGAAACATTAACACAGTGGTGTTAATAATATGGTTGGTTAGTATGTGGGGTCTCATTTTATATTTCAGAACTGCAAATAGCAGCAGACCATATCCAGCCTGATTTTTGCTTAGGGATGGTGGGGCCAGATGGCATTTTTGAGATGTGTAATGGGAACAAAGCATGTGGGACACATGCCTTTGAGTGAACTCCAGTGAACATAATTATTTGACTTTTTTCTTCTGCCGTTAATGTCAGATAAGTGTGGTACATACAATCTTGCTGTTCACTGGAATATGAAGTTCCATCAGTTGGATGAAATAAGTCTCTGCTGGGTTGTTTCCCCACCACCAATGAAAAATAGACAAAGTATATAAAATGTTAGCATACTTGAAGCCAGATTAATAATTAGTATACTTTAAGTTTGTTAAGGATTATTTAACTTGAAACATGTTATTGTGGAACAACTAATTTTGTGCTTAATGTATTTTAATTGTAATGGAATTGTAGAAAATCACAATTTGAAGTGTGCTAAGTTTACCATTAGACACTTTTTTGGAACAACTAAAAGTATACTTTTTATATTTAAAGTGTAAAGATTTTTATGTAAAATAAATGTGCTTAATTAGTATATCTTAAGTTTACTATTTTTATGAATGAATTACATTTAAAATATATTTAGAATGTTTTCAAAATATATGAGCATTATCCACTCTCTGGCTACTTTATTAGGTACACCTGTAAAACTGCTAATTTACGCAACTGTTGAATCAGCCAATCACTTGGCAGCAACTCCATGCATTTAGGCATGTAGACATGGCCAAGATGATCTGCTGCAGTTCAAACTGAGCATCAGAATGGAGAAGAAATGTGATTTAAATGACTTTGAACGTGGCATGGTTGTTGGTGCCAGACGGACTGAATTGAGTATTTCAGAAACTGCTGATCTACTGGGATTTTCACGCACAATTATCTCTCGGGTTTATAGAGATGGTTGTGAAAACTAATCCACAAAGCCAGGAATGTCATTGGAGTGGAGCTAGACTCTGTCAGAGAGAAGGATCCCTGTCCAAGATGCAGGTCATCTTTCACAACAAATCTCATCTATTTCATGATGTGGTGCCTGGATACAGGAGCACCTTCAGCCAGAGACTCATTTTATCAAAGTGAACCACAGAGCAAAAGAAAATCATTTCTACCTGTAGCCATTAAACTATACAATAACTAACTTAAATCTACTTTTCTCTGCACTCATTTATAGGTTGTTTATAGATCAACATATATGCATGCATATTTATGTATTTATATTCAGTCATATTGAATTACTTGCATCACTCTTATATTTAATAAATTTTATCTCTTATGGTTTTATTTGCATTATTAATATTTAACATATTGGGTGGAGTAGCCTGTCAACTAATAAGCAATTTCCCCTTGGTGATCAATAAAGTACATTTTATTCTATTCTTATACTATTCCATAAACAGTCCAATTCTATTCCTGAAATATATTTTTATATTTGATTGTGCATATATTATACATCTTTATTAATAAATGAATTAATAATGCCATTTTTTGTCTTGTCTTTCAGGTATTGCCTGCATTGCTCTTTCATTTGTAGATGCTCAAGGTTGCCCCTTTAGGGTTGCAGCTCATGACTGTTCCTCTATTCTAAAACATGAGACCTGCTCCATCCCTCTTCACCCAGAACATTTTGAGGAGCTGACAACAGTGATTAAAGCAGAAGCTATCAACATAAACCAAAGTTCAGGTAATATACACACAGATTGGCTTGTGTTAGGATAGAGCTCTGGGA